GATACAGATATTCTGTTGTCATTAGCGGCTTTGATTGGGTGACCATCTTTTAACCAGGTTACATTAGATACTGGTTTGCCTTCCAAGTAACACGTGAGGGATACATGGTTTCTCTCAACTACTGTTTCACTTGTTGGAGGGAACAAAATCTTTGGAGGGTCTAATAGAAAAAAAATATCAAAAGAACGAAGATTTAGGTAGACAGAATGTAAAATACAAGTTTTCCATAATAATTACTTACAGGTGACTGTTAGCAATGCTCCAGATGAGGTATCATTACCGACATCATTCCAAGCTTGACAGGAATAGTAGCCCTGGTCACTACGGCTCACATTAGTGATAGTCATCTTAGATCTTGTTTTATTGACTGAGCAGGGTAGCGTTACAGATATTCTGTTGTCATTAGCGGCTATGATTGGGTGACCATCTTTCAACCAGGTTACRTTAGATACTGGTTTGCCTTCCAAGTAACACGTAAGGGATACACTGCTTCTCTCTACCACTGTTTTATTTGTTGGAGGAACCAATATCTTTGGAGGATCTGAAGAGAAACAAATTCTTCAATGGTTATTGAATAGAAATAAACGTTCACACCATCGTGATTAACTAAGAAATGTTTAAATGCCGGTTTAGCACAAGGCGTAACGTATAGGACTTCTGAAGATCAAATCGAAGGTATTGTGAATAAATGTGGCGGTACACGTTTGTTAACCACTCACTGATTGACTCCCAGAAAGAAAACCACCATTAGGGTGCGATTGAGTCGAAAAACTTTCATTAAAATATTCACTTACAATTGACAGTCAATGCTGCAGCAGTTGAATTCTTTTCACCATAACTGTTTTTCACGTTACAGCTGTAACTATCCTCATCTGTTCTCTTCAAGCCATTGATCGTCAGATTAACAATCGTCCTGTCGTGTTTAGTGGGTTGAGTGACGTTCATCCTATTGATCGCTATAGTCAATGGGTTTCCGTATTTAATCCAGGTTACTATGGGAGAAGGTTTGCCTTCCACTTCACATGCAAATGTGACCGAATCTCCTTCATTCTTTGACTTGGGTCGTGGATCCACGAATATCGTTACACCATCTGCAAGTAGAATGTTGAACATGTTTAGAACCTGTTTTACACATCCAAAACGGAAGATTGTTCTTTACTTACAGCCAACTGTCAGTAATGCTGATGACGAGGTATCATTACCGACATCATTCACAGCCTGACAAGAATAGTATCCTTCGTCAGTACGGTTAACATTGGTGATAGTAATCGTAACAGTTGTATTACTGACTGAGGAGGGTAGCGTTACAGATATTCTGTTGTCATTAGCAGGTATGATTGGGTGACCATCTTTCAACCAGGTTACATTAGATACTGGTTTGCCTTCCAAGTAACACGTAAGGGATACACTGCTTCTCTCAACTACTGTTTTACTTGTTGGAGGGAACAAAATCTTTGGAGGGTCTAAAAGAAACAAAATGTCAAAAGAACGAAGATTTAGGTAGGCAGAATGTAAAATACAAGTTTTCCATAATAATTACTTACAGTTGACTGTCAGCAATGCTCCAGATGATGTGTCATTACCGACATCATTCAAAGCTTGACAGGAAAAGTAGCCCTCGTCACTACGGCTCACATTGTTAATACTAATCGAAGCACTAGTATTACTGACTGATGAGGGTGGAGATACAGATATTCTGTTGTCATTAGCAGCTATCGTTGGGTGACCATCTTTCAACCAGGTTACATTAGATACTGGTTTGCCTTCCAAATAACACGTAAGGGATACACTGCTTCTCTCTACTACTGTTTTACTTGTTGGAGGAACCAATATCTTTGGAGGATCTGAAGAGAAACAAATTCTTTGATGGTTATTGAATAGAAATGGAAAATATATCACGAAATAAACGTTCACACCATGGTGATAAACTAAGAAAAGTTTAAATGACGGTTTTTAGCACGAAGCGTAACGTATATGACTTCACAAGATCAAATCGAAGGTATTGTGAATAATTGTGCAGGCGGTACGTTTTTCTCAAGCGCTCATTAATTGATTCTTAAAAAGCAAAACACCATTAGGGGACCATTCAGTTTAAGAACTTTCATTAAAATATTCACTTACAATTGACAGTCAAGGCTGCAGCAGTTGAATTCTTTTCACTATAACTGTTTTTCACGTTACAGCTGTAACTACCCTCATCTGTTCTCTTCAAGCCATTGATCGTCAGATAAACAACCGTCCTGTCGTGTGTAGTGGGTTGAGTGACGTTCATCCTATTGATCGCTATAGTCAATGGGTTGCCGTCTTTAAGCCAGGTTACTATGGGAGCAGGTTTGCCTTCCACTTCACATGTAAATGTGACCGAATCTCCTTCATTCTTGGACTTGGGTTGTGGATTCACGAATATCGTTACACCATCTGCAAGTAGAATGTTGAACATGTTTAGAACCTGTTTTACACATCCAAAACGGAAGATTGTTCTTTACTTACAGTCGACTGTCAGTAATGCTGATAATGAGGTATCATTACCGACATCATTCACAGCCTGACAAGAATAGTATCCTTCGTCAGTACGGTTCACATTGGTGATAGTAATCGAAGCAGTTGTATTACTGTCTGAGGAGGGTAGCGTTACAGATATTCTGTTGTCATTAGCGGCTATGATTGGGTGACCATCTTTCAACCAGGTTACATTAGATACTGGTTTGCCTTCCAAGTAACACGTAAGGGATACACTGCTTCTCTCAACTACTGTTTTACTTGTTGGAGGGAACAAAATCTTTGGAGGGTCTAAAAGAAACAAAATATTAAAAGAACGAAGATTTAGGTAGGCAGAATGTAAAATACAAGTTTTCCATAATAATTACTTACAGTTGACTGTTAGCAATGCTCCAGATGATGTATCATTACCGACATCATTCAAAGCTTGACAGGAATAGTAGCCCTCGTTACTACGGCTCACATTGGTAATACTAATCGAAGCACTAGTATTACTGACTGATGAGGGTGGAGACACAGATATTCTGTTGTCATTAGCAGCTATCGTTGGGTGASCATCTTTCAACCAGGTTACATTAGATAACGGTTTTCCTTCCAAATAACACGTCAGGATTACAGCGCTTCTCTCAAGTACTGTTTTACTTGTTGGAGGGAGTAAAATCTTTGGAGGATCTAAAAGAAAGCAATATCGAGATAACGTCAAGATTTAGGTACCCAGAACATAAAAATGCAAATTTTACGAATGAATACTTACAGTTGACTGTCAGCAATGCTCCAGATGAGGTATCATT